CTGAAGTGCTGGTTTCACTTATATGCTTAACTCAGGAGTGAGGAAAAGAATCACAGTGCAAAGGACTGAAGGCTTGATTATTTTATTGAGCAGTTTATTTCTTTGGTCCTTAAGTGGCACTTGTAGAAAGTCTTGAGATAACATAACTCCATTTTATATTAATGTAAGATGGCCAAAACAATCTTAAAGGACCAGATCCTTTAAGATATTAAAATAGCAAATTTCTCTTCCAGTCGGTTGGAGCTAAAGTTTGGACCCCAAAGTGGACATAGGTGAATACTGGGCCCTCTCTTGCAAAGGGAAACGTTGGCTTGTGAGAGAGAAGTGAAACCCCTCCTTTTGGAGGGAACTATCAAGAGCCACTGCTTGTAACTCTCTGGTAATTCTTCACTGATAGAAATAAATAATTACATTATTCTTGGGATGTTTTTAAAGTGGTTTACTGGTTTATCTGATGGATGGAAAATGTAGGAGGATTACTTTGCTATTTGTTTATGGGGGTGATGAAATAATGGCTTCCAAGTTTGTTATTTGTGTTGGCAGCAAGAAACATGAATTGTTGAGATGTGAGTGTCTGTACTGAGGATAGCAACGCATTTTGTGTTGTCAGTCAACACTTCCCCCCCTCCCTGCCCTCGTGTCACTTGTGATGTAATGCCATTCTGATCTAGTGGAACCCTCTGTGCTCCTGATTTGTAATTAGATGTGACATCATGATTTAAAGGTAGCTCAAAAAATTGGTATGGGATAGTTGTTATAGGCATTAAAGCTATTTCAGTAAGAATGCTTTCTGCTTTTTTGTGGTATAAAACAATTGGTTACCACAAAACTTTGCTCTTTTGTGACTCCTGAGGAAAGAAAATCTAAATATCAAAAGTCATCTTTCTTAATACATTATATATGGGATTCTCATTGATGCAAATGAAACAGGAGCTGGGAGTCCTGGGTGCAGCTGCACAGTGTAACTATTTGCATCACATTTGCACTAGAAGTTGCACCTGCAGGATTGTTCAGGTTCTTCCCTGGTTTCATCACCACATAATAACTAGAAGCTTTTGCCTTTTTTTTTTAATGTTTCAGAGGTGACATAAAACCCATAAATGAAAGCCTAGCAGCCACCAGTATCACTTTCTTTGGCCTAATTAGTTTCTGACTTAGGGAAGTGCAAGCAGGAATTCATTGTGGATTTCTGTCATATTCTGCATAGATATGTGTGAAAATAGTTTTAATTTTCAAAGGAATGTGACTTCACTATATGGATGAGAACAATAGATTCTATTGGGAAATCTTTAGCTAGGACTTGGGAACTTAACTATCTGGCCATTACAGGGTGGATAACAGTAAAATGGCAATTTTTGCATCCAGTCAAATAAATCGCATGATGTTGATTGATTATTGATAGACTTTCTTCTTGCAGAAGAAAGTCTTGTTAAATTCAGCATCCCTATTTACTGTGTATGGATAAGGTACTGATTTCCTTTGTGTTGGTCTGGGAGTTCCCTGCTGTGTAAAATGGATGGATTTAGGTGTTGGTCTGATTGGTATTTGCTGGTTGTAACAATGGATAAAAGAATTTTTTTTTAAGCTAACTTGTCAGTTAAGTACAAAAAAAGGGAACTCTCTGCTCTGCTCTGTGTGAATGGTTAAAGAAGTGGATTCTGGTCTCTGTGTGCACTCACACTTTTCAATATAATAAAACCAACCCAAACTGGATGTTCAGTTGTTCTAGTGATTCTTTCTTATGCAATTTTAGTTTCATGCTAACACAGAAATTATTACCAATACTGTGAGATTTCTTGACTTCAAAGGAGCTTGCTATTAACTGGAGCAAAGGCAGGGTTTCACCCTGTAACTATTAATGCTGTAAGAGACTATACTTAGCAATGACCTAAGGTCTTTGTAGGGCTACTGACTTCATGTTTCCAGCTTCCCATGGGCTCATGCACTGCTTTTTCAAATGCACAGGAAGCACCTCGTGTTCCTGTCCGGGTTCTGTATATCAGCATTTAAAAGGCAACTAGTAAATACCAGGCATGGCAGAATGACAGCGTGCTTTGCTTTGGCACGGGTGACAGAATGTGAGACCTGCTAGGGTGACCCTTTGCTTAGTTTGGGATATAGATCACTACCCTGAACTGCTCATGCATTAGTCTCCCTGGCTTGTTGATGTGTTATGGGCTGTCTTGTTTTAGGAAGCCTTTCCTCAGCAGCAAATACTCTCTGTAGGGTAGGGACTGAGATCAACTGTTTTTTCGGGATGCTGTGGTTATATTACCTGTTTGTCTGTAATGTGCAACTCTGCAACAGACTTCATTTTATTGCACTGGCACTGACTTTTCTTAGTCTGCAAATCCAGCTGCCAACTCATAGCATTAAAGCAAATCCTAACAGAAATCAAGAAGCATGCTACATATGCTGACAAGAGAAAAAGAATTTGGTTTGATACATAATTTTCCAGAAAAATCAGTGAATATCTGAAGCTTTTAATTGATCTGTTCTCATCTTTTCCTAGATATTAAACTGGCTGGCTTCTAATTGCCCAGACCTCTCTTGCTCTGGCTTTTTTTGGATGAAACACCAAAAAAGTGGTGATGGGGTGGCCTTCTTGGTTTTATAGGGGCCTATCCAAGGAAACTCAAAAAATCCCTTTTTTTTTCCTTCAATAGTGTAGTTGGGATTTCAGCAGACTTAGCAGATTGAGTATGTTTGGTTTACCTGGACATACTTAAATATTTATCTACTTTTTGATGAAAACATTAAGAACTACAATCTTCTCCTGAAGTGTCAATGGCTTGCTATTCTCATTAAAACGGCAAATATTTTCCCTGTTTTCATTCACTTTGCAATTAGCAGAGGATTCTATTTCATCCCTTAACCACTCAGACCCTTAACAATCCAGAATTTCTTTATATTAATGAGACTATACTAACCAGCTGATGTTACTAGGCTAGTTTTTATAGAAGACTATTAAAGCACAGCACTGCCTGTTTCTGACAGTTCTCGCAAGTACCTGGCATAAAGCAGGACTTCAGTGATGCCCTAAATGCCATGCTGGGTCACCCAGCAAACAGAAAGGGCAAACCAAACCATGTTGCACTGCATATGCTAGAATTTGGTTATTGGGCTGTGAGAAGAGATGCATGGGGTGGGTTTAAGCTAAATTAGCAGAGGAAGGGAATGGTCACTTCAGTCATACAGACTAAATCAGGCCTTGTCCTGACTGAAAGCACTCCCAGAACTGACAATTATACTGACAAAGGAGTTTCTGCTGGAGTTTAACAGCAGTCCTTGGTCTTAGCTGCCCTGTAGACAGCTATCACTTTCAGCTACATATTTATTATTTATTTAGAGATTTTGGTGGGTTTGCATTTTCCAGCCCAGCAATTGTGAAGACAAAACAGCATACATCAGACTTGAGGAAATGGATTATTCCTGTCCAAAGGCAGGTTGCTGCTCTACTGGATTCTTTAGTGGTAGAAGTAAACCATGCACAGCATTTGGGAAGAAGCAGTCTGGCAGGAATGGCCAGTGTGGCATGGTGAAGAAGGACTAAAGAGCTACTCTGAGGCTCCAGCAGTATCTGTGTGACCAGGCAGTGAAAAAAAATTCAACAAAAAAACCAAACACAAGCCCCCACCCCAAACCTAGAACCTGCTTTGCTTCTTGCTGCAAGTTTTTTTGGACAGTTGTTGCCAGGCAGAGATGTCCCAAGTGTAAAATATTTCCCAAAACCAGTGTTTTCCTCAATTCTCGTTCCTATGCTGTCATTTACCATGGGAGTTCTCGTTTTGCTTTTGTTGAAGGATTAGGATGTAAGAACTTCTGGCATGTATAAAGGGTTTATACATTGTGTTTCTCTGTGAAGGGTGGTTCTGGCAAGAGAAAAATCATCTCAAATTATGGACTTTCTATGCAGAAAGTCCATAATGTTGCTTTTGCATTCAGGTGTTTCAGGCATGACACAGAAGTGGACCAAGTGAGAGCTGTGTGGGCAATGCTAGTGGCACATATATATAACTGGTGTAGGCTTGATGGGGGGTGTGGGGTGTGTGTGTAAGTACAAGGTGTACTAATATTTGCATATAAGCTTGAAGAGTTAAGCACTTTGCAATACTTAAGTGATAAGCTACTTGTATTTGGAGAAATGATGGGGGAAACAGTTTTGTACTCCAAGCAAAATTTATTAGAAGTCTATTCAAGAAAAAAAAAACAAAACCACAGAGACCTTTTGCTTGTAGGAATTCAAAGTCAGTTACCTGAAACTCAGGTATGAAAAACCTGCATTTTTCTAAAATCAGATACAGAGTAGAAACAGTACTTTTTAAATATCACAGGCAACAGATATTTAAGTCCTCAATCATAAATGGCATCAAAGATAGTATTAATCTCACAGCAAAGCTGCATGCAGATCTAGTTTAAAATTGAAAGCCTTTGAATATAAAGCTTTTGCCATGAAATCTGCAATAATAAAGGTATGCTGCACAAAGATGTTTCTTTACCTTTGCCTTAATGACCTTTCTCAGTAATAAAGACATATGTACATTTAGATTTGGCTGGTAAACCATATTTTAATTAATAAAATTTTGCATAAAAGGCTATCTTACAGAATTGCACTATCCAGATGTGCTTATGGTAAACAGAGAAAGAAAAGAAAAAAATGCATTGAAATGTTCTGTATGTGAAGAGGGCAAATAAGAAACTTAATTTTTTAAAAATCAACAACCAAATGGCTCTGTACAAAAAAGCAAAATTATGTACAAAATGCTACAGAGACTACATACATTTTGATAATTTTGATCCTTTATCCATGAAAAATGCAGCAGAAGCTTTTGCCATCTATAAGGTGCCAAAGAAACCAAATCCAAATTTTTATTTTCATAAAGCCATAGTCATTATCATCCTGTGCCTTAATTTCATTTGCTATTTATGCTTACCTTTGCTTATGGAAAATGTATGTTTTCAAACACTTGTTCATTCAGACAAAAAAACAAAACCCAACACCTCTAAAATATATTTGTTTTAATACTTGTGACTTCTTTTTTCTGTCTAAATTCCTAAAAAGAATGTGTAACTTGGGTTTCATTAACATACATACACATATATAGTGAAATAAATCAGTACATGATGCTTGTGAATATTTTTCAGGTGGCTATGTTAGGAAAGAAAAAAACCAAAATCCAACAACCCTTTGCACTAACACTGTTTACCTTCCTGCTTCTTTAATTTCCTGATAAGTAAAAACACTACCTCTTACACTTCATGTTGCTTACTATTACAACATTTTGATTACAACCATTTAATATCAGACATCAATAGCAGGTTATTATTGTCTATGCTTACAGCACTGTCTTGCTCTTCCTTAAATCCTCTTTCCCCAGTCTTTGTGCCTTTTGCACTTCTTACTTTTTAACAGAAAACACTACAGGTTCACTACAGTTTTTCATTAGGGAAAAAAAGATAAAAGATTTAGCCAATACCATTGCACCCGTTCAGAACACTTGCAGTTCTTCCATTTTTCACTTTGCTTGCTTGAGATTTTACAATCACTGTGCATTTGTTACAGCATACAAGTGCAGGCAAAAAGTCTATATTATAGTTTGTCATACATTGTAAACCAGTACAATAGGCAAACCCGTGACACAGCAATGTGGAAGCAACAAATGCTACCAAGCTAATAAGAATGTGTAAAATCAAATTTTTAAAAAATAGTAAACAGCAACTTTCCTCTGTATTACATGCATGCTGAAAAAATCCCACCAGACTTCATGGTAGTACCACAAATGTTCAAAATAAGAATAATTTTTTTTCCCCCTTCCCCCCTACCCCCCCATGGCAACTCATTTATGTACCTGTCATCAGGCTTTTTCCTATTGTGTTTCACACGGAAATACTTTAAACCAGGGAGTATTTAAATGTTGAAATGCTTCCTCTTGTCTCAGAAAAGCTTAGTTATTCACACTGTGGTCGTTGCTGTAATACTGCTGGGACGGTTTGGCGGGTGGGATGGGATGAGGGTGAACTAGATGGCCTCTATTTGAGACTGCAAGCGAGAAAACAGAAGGCCAGCGTAGCATGTTTTCTAGCAGCTTTATGCAGATGTGTTGCAGAGATGCAGCATAAATAAGTAGAAAAAAAAAATTTCACAGCCTCTTGACATAGTTTCCAGGGAAAGTACCAAAGAATTTGGTTCTTCTTGAAGTTCCTGAAATTAGAAGCAATAGATGAAAGATGGGAATAACAACAGAAAATCACTATGTAAGCATGGCCTTAAAATTTTTTGTGTTTAATATTGCACAAGCAGAATGATCTAGAGTTCCTTATACTATATATTATTTGTGAGGTTTAACAAAGTGTAACACGGGAAGCAAAATGCAAATGAAGAAGCATAATTGACTAAATTGTTAGGCCTGATTAAAAGCTGTGCTAAAATTCTTGGTACATAGAAATAATTTAATTTCATCAACATAAAGTCTATGAAAATAATGTGAATTTTTTAAGTATTAAGAACTTGTCTGTTGATTAAGTTAGCTGCTGTGTGCATGAGGGTTTATGAAATGATTAGGTCACCATATCTAGGCCTGGTCATGAAATCATCATTTGATCAGTAATACTTGGGTTTCACAAGTGGTCAGTGCTGTGGATGTATTCCCATGAGAAGGTTTTAAGGTATCTGGCCTTTATAAAGAGAGAAGTAATACATTGTCCATTCTGTGTCACAAATGGCAACAATGCTGTACAACAATCAGGAGCTGTGTGTCAATTTGGCATCTATCAATTTTAAAAGAGAAAAGTGCAAAATCACCTGCTAATTTCAGTGGATTTTGGTTGGGATTTCTCCTGATAAAGCCAGGTTCAGATTTATTACACTAAATGCCAAAAATCAAGTTGTTTAAAAGACACTACATGAAGAGGGCAGCACAGGTCAGGGGGAAAAAAAAGAAGAGCAACCAAATCAAAACATACCCACAAACCATCCATCATCACATTTTTCCATCACATCAATGACATCTCCCTCTCTGAGCTCCAATTCATCTTCGTTCCTAGGGGTATAGTTATATAGAGCCTGAAACCTTAAATAGGACAAATGAGTCATTTTAAAAAGAAGTAAGAGTTCCTTGCACTTTTGCTCAAGTAATGGAGCTGGTTCAAACATTAAGAAGAAACACTTCTTGCAAATAGAGGGGAAAAGGAATTCTTTTTGCCTAGTGGACTTGAGGGTTAGGAACTTATAGTAAATAAAATCTTCATTAGAAAGGCAACTCATGAGACATCGAAGACTGGGTTTAAAGGCAAGTCTGATGGCTCCTCAACCAGTTGTTTCAAAAGCATTTTTTAAAAAACATTTTAGTGTTATTTTTTAGTTCAGTAACCTAACAGAGGACATTTAAAGGAGAGTCTAGATGCGCTAGCCCTGTAAGCTGCCATGGTCAGCACTGTGGTTCTGCCTTTAAGCTCCAGAGAAGGCAGTAGCAGCACAAGTGAGGGTACCCAGCACAGCAGCTCTCACACGCTGTCACTGGGGCTGGGGGAGCTCCCTGGGCTCTTCAGTGGCTACACAGATAAGCCATCTGTGAGAGTGAGGGAGAGGCCTGGATCAAATTAGAGGACATAGGGATGGAAACTCAAACAATATTCAAGCCCTGAGCTATGCTTCTACACCTGGCCAGGGCTGCAGATTGCAGGATATAAGTGGATAAATGGCAAGAGGTGTGCAATTACTAAATACATTGTATTTCATTCCTTGCCAGCTTTTAATTAAAGTTTTTTGAATTGAAAAAATAAACTCTCAGTAGGGGGAACTGAAGGTTCTTGGGCTGACAGTCCACAGGAAGATTGTTGTAAAAGCCTTTGAATCCTATATGGTCAGAATTGGCCTTTTTTCCTAAGCAACCGTGCCTTAGATATGACTGACTGTCTAAATGAAGCAGGGCAAAACTGCAGAAATTGGGAAAAGGATATAGTTTTAATTTCAGATTACTGAAGCAAAACATAATTATATCCATTCTTTTCTCTTAGAACAGTTCACTGAATTTTAAACCTTATTACCATCATTACACTTTCCCCAGTACTAACAAGATAGGTTGCTCATTGATGTTTTTATCATTCTGGCTGAGTTTTCATGGCTTAAATAAGATGTTTACTTCAGTAAAAAATTCCTGCTCCTGAAAGGCCAATTTGAAAATCCTATATACAGACTGGTGCTAGGTTTAGTTTCAGGATGTTTATCTTAAATAAACTACACTTATTTTTCACATTGCTGGTTCAGAGATTAGAAAAGAAGAAAATGTTCCAAGAAAAAAAAAGAAAACCACCTTAATTTCTTGTCACTGGCAGTCATCTTCCAAGCCCCAAAAGTATCTTTTTGTATTTTAATTAACAAAATGGAAAGAGACTAGTTGTTTAAGCAATTACCTTTGGTAATTTGTATAGCAGTAGTAAGAACAATCTGTGCAAAGAGATAAGTGGCAATAATGTTTTCTGTTATGCTTATCATCATTCCAGGAAAGCAGAGCTATGGTGATATTCCAAAAAATAATTAAATGCAGCTTCCAAAGGGAAAAGCTTTGCAGATGCAATGTGTCATGAATAGGATTCAAGCCAATTACTTACTCAAGTACAGTAACAAGAACTTACCATGAGCTCTCTTTGTACTTTAAAAATTGAATCTTAGTAATTTCTAGATAATCCATCTAAAAAACTCCTTTGTAGTAATTTCATTCTCTCTATGCTAATCTAAGACTTTTATAAGTATGAAAACTCTACTGGCATTTACAATACTGACAGAAAACATATTCAAGAGAATTTATATATAAATTTAAATATAAAATGAATATACTTATATTTTTAATTTTAGGAGCCAAAAAATTTAGTCATGAACTACTTATGATATGTCGAACAAAATGAATTAGAAAATTATTGCTTTCAAAACTGAGTTAGGTGCTTCAGTATGCTCAACTATAGCAACAGGAAGTTGTGGTTTTAGTGAGATAGATATACCACAAATACATAATAAGATTGGGATATTCAATCTGGTAACTTTTTGCCCCTCTTTTTAATCTTTAAATGACTAAGGAAAACTTAAAAATATTTTTAGACAATATTAGAATATATTAGGTACATTTTATGAAAAATTATCTAATAGGGCATATACTGAAGTGCTCTGATGCTAAAGGAAGAATGGCTACTGGTTTCAGTGATCACTGAAGTAGGACCTGAGTGCAAGGCTGGGGGGGGGGGGTGGAAATCTCAAGACAATCTTGCATTTTAACTGTCAGTACTGAAATATCCCAAGCACTTAAAATAAGACTTGAGTTCTAGGTTCTTCTCCAGTTTTCAGAAAAGCTTTTCTTGTATCTCATATTTGAATTGCACTTGTAAATCACACCAAAAAGTGTGAGCCTGTGTTCCTGTGATCAACATTATCAAGTTACTTTTTTTCTCTCTATTCACATCCTGAACTGTTTCTGAATAATTGTATCAAGTCAGTGAAGCAGATCAGTTGAATCAATGTTGAATCTGTAATTGTCATTTTCCTGAGATGTAAAAATGGAGAGAATAAAAAAAGTCAAAATCTCTTCTGTAATTACAGAAAACGGAGAGCTGTTAAGTTGCCATGTCTGGCTGCACTGAATGTAAAATTAAACAAATAAGGCTTTGCCCTCTGGGACATTCTTGGCTATCTTCCTACATCATGCAGTTATCAATAAATCTGTGAAATCTCTTCATAATTGTACTTGGCAAGTTAAAAAATTATCTGATGATGTGCTGGCTGTTACTTAAACGTTAGGTTTTGGTTTAGTAGACAAGAATTATACTTACGGTTCCCCCCCACCGTGTATATTTTCATGAGAAAGCACAGGGCGCTGTGGCTGAAATGAAATGATTTGAAATGTAATAAAGATTTGCAGTTTAAGGTCCAAATAGTTGGATAGGGGTGTAACACACAGTTGCTCAAGAGTCCATATTCTACCTTGTGTAAAATCATGGCCCATTATGCCCCCCTTCCAACTCACAAGAAATCCTTAAGAGACACGTCAAACAACTGAATCTCAGCACGTTTAAAGATCTGATTTTTGGAGGTCATAATAAAAACTAAACAAAACTGTGAACTTCATCAACAGTCCATTCTATTTATAGCATAGTACAAAGCTGGAATAGAACCCTGCTGCCTCTTCACTGTGAAACAGAAATAACATTAGAAAAATCAGATGCAACTGATGAACATCATACATTTTTTTGGGTGAAATATATTTTTAGATAAGCAGATAAAATCTCCTATACATAATGGCAGAATCTAGAATATTCACAGACGAACAACATACCAATTTACATTACACACACAGAGTACTAACTTGGCAGGCATAACATGCTATGCTTTAACTAATTCTGTTTCATCTCAAGCCATGCAGGCTATTGGGAGGCAAAGAACAGAAAACAATTTTGAAAGAATACATTTAATTGTGTGACTAATAATATAACAATTATCACTTCAACAGAAAAAAGTAGTCTGTATTTCCAGTGCAGAACTTTTGAAAGGAACTATGTTCCTTCTTAATGGAGCATTACTGAGCAATAATATCCAATACATCTGGATGCATGTAAATGAAAAATACTAACCTTCTACAGAAACTATATCCTGCTTAGAAAGTTATTGACTTATACTGATTAGAATCTGGCTGGGGCCAGAAAGTGCAGGAGCAGCTGCTTGGAAAAGCTCTTGATATGAGCAGGGATCGTATTCTCTGTTGACTGAGGATGCCCTCTGGTCACTCTGTAGAGACAAGTCTGGGAACCATATCTGTTTTGGGAATGTGGATATCAAACACTGCTCATAGCACTTTCTTTCATGAATTGAGTAAACTGCAACCTGATCTTTAGCCATGGAATTTTTCTTATTGCCCCATGGTTCTCTCTTGGTTTGACTATTTCAGTCACCCTTGAAGATGATACAGTCTTCCAAGAGAGAAGGCAGCCGTAAACAATCCACAGGCTGATGGCAAAAATTGAACAGAAAAACACGGGATGTAGTTTGTTAGGTTTCTTTCCCCTCTTTTTCCTCTCAGCATCTCCAGATGGAATTAGTTAAATTTCTTTTCAGCAGTTTCTATGAATATGTGCAGAAAATATTGTGAACAATCTGTACTTTACAGTCTATAGAGTATATCTTTTAAAAGGTGCCTAAATTTGCAGGCAGGTAGATTACAGATTTTTTTTTTAATTCATATTATTGAATGCTAGGTGGGAAATAGATTTTCAAAGTAAAAAAAAAAAGTTTATACTCTTTACTGTCTTCTCTCCCTCTTAACTCTGCCTCTGCCCATGTACAAGATGGATAATTTTTACTCAAGAATAAACAGTAAAGATTACAAATTAAACAGTTCTCAGTAAACCTCCTTCAATGGCTGGCTTGTCTAGCAAGCAGAGAATAGTCAAAATTCTTTGTATTTAGATTGAAATCTGCCCTGATTTGCTGCTAATCTTCAGCAGGTCTGTAACTGAGCTGAATGTCAGAGATAGAGATGCAAAAGAACTCAGCCAAGGTTAAGGACTTCTCCTATAAACAATGGAAGTAAAAGTCCTAAACAATGCTACAAATGATTTAATGCTTTGAGCATAATACCAAGCCAGGAAGAAACTGGGTAGGTTAGTATTATCATCTTTTTCTGCATACGCTTCATAAGAGGTTCTATTGCTAATTAACCACTGTAGAAATAGATAAGAATCAAGACTCATGATTTAACTCTATGTTATTGCTGCAGAGAAAACAGTCCGGTGACAAAATTACAATCTTGGAGAAATAAGGTGAAGTGATTGGTGGTATGTCTGAGCAGGGGGACCTTGGTGCTTGCTCTCTATTTGGAGGCATTCCACAGTAATACCCCAGCTGACATCCAGAAGCTTTCTCCCTGTTTTCTTTCCCTAAGCTCTCATTCCCATATACAGCTGTATTGGCTGGACAAAGGACTGTTAACAAAGATTCCTAGTTTTCAACTGCAACTCAGTTTACCAGACTGTCCTATTTCCTGGGAAATATTGCAGGACCTAATCCCAAAAACATTAAGGAGTGTGCAATCAAGTCAATGGTCCCAGCTGTAAGCCTGATTTTCATGCATGACTGATACTGCACTTACATATAAAAGTTCTGTAGCATCCTAAGAATGCAAATTAGGTGCATGATATGTGCTCTTGTACTTTTGGAATTAAAGTAATAAACACTACACATTAACCAATACACTCCTCTTAATATACTGGTTACATTTCATTCATTTGGAGTAATGTGCAAAATTGAAATAGGGCTTAATCCCTTTTTTACAGCTCTCATTCCTAGTTGGCCTTTGTGTTAGATGGTATTTGATTGCTACTACAAGAATTCTGGCCTTCCTAGGATTGAACTGTCTTTCTTCATTAGTGAAGAAAACACTGTCCCCTCAATACCTGGAAGCAAACAGAGGCCTGCCAAAAAGCAAAGACTTTAGAAGTTACACAAACCTGCCTATCTTAAACTAAGATTCAAATTTTAAAAAGGGAGACACCAGAAAGATGATCACCTAAAATCAGCAGCAACAGCATGGAAAATAATTAATCCCATTACCAGTTTTAAGACCTAAAGTTAAGAAACCAATGCGAAGGACAAATAAATCCTGGGCTGAAAGTGAAGCATAAACCACAATTTCTCATTCTCATATTGTTTAGGTTGAGGGTGGGGTTTTTGTGTTTGACGTTTTGCAGTTTATTTTTTTTTTTCCCTTTTTCATAATGTAGATTACCTTTTTGAGCAAAATCCATGCAAATTCGAAACAACCTGACTTTTTGGCTAAGTGAAAAAATTAGAATTGTGTTACAGTTACATTACAGATAAGAAGTGAAAGGTTAAAGAGTATTAAAATCTGGAATGCTTGGATAAAGAGGACAGTATTGAGTGAAAAAAAATGTAGCAGGAGCAAAACATTTTGAAAAGAAGGATGTGGATTCAAACCAAAAAATTCAGTCTGTATACATGCAAAAGCCTGTATATATGAAATAGAGAATAATTTTTTTTACTGTTAGAAGCTGTAATTTTAATAAACTAAAAATACTTTGAAAGAGACAAGTAATTTTAATAGAACTAGACTAACTATAAATAACTAAATATAAACACCTTGTAGCACTGGAAATACCATGCAGTACTGCAGAGATGCAATACACTAGTGGATTTATATAAAAAGTTCAGGCACACACAGACCTGTTGCCTTTACTCAGTCATAGCACAGAAGCACAACAGGAAGAAAACACAGCATACTGATAGTATTGAGACACTTGGGTAAAAGCAAAATACTGAAAGACTAGACACTGAGCTCCTTGTCCATGGAAAAGCTGTTATTGCACACTGGGCATCCAGTACCATACCCTGTGTGAATAGCTGTGACCTCTGACAGGTGAGCTGCAGGATCTCTTAGTCATCACTGGGCTACGAGGAGGTTTACCCATAACAAATAGCTCCCTCTTTAAATTAGCCTAGAAGAACCACAAAAACTTTGTCAAGCGAGAGTTTAAGAATGAAGCACCATGGGATTTTTGTTGCTTCATTCCTACATGCAAGTCAGACATGCTTTTCCTGATAACAAAAAGCAATTGTTACAGGTAGGAGGAGTACTGTTAGTACACAGTGTTTTCATTGCTACCACTGTATCTTTTTTTCCCAAGGGTTTCCTGCTCTGGTACATGCCCTTACATGTTACAATTATAAGATGAATCATGTATAGCATATGCAATTGGAACAGTTATTGCATGTGTACCCCCTGAAGTAGCTCAGATAATAACACAGAAAAGCTCAACAGCATAGAGCAGAAATGCTACCTTAGAAATACCAATGGTGAATGTAATTCCTTGCTGTTAAACAGAACACACCCCCTGGATTTGCATTTAGAAAGCAAGTAAATACTTGTTGGAAAGTACTTCATGGAAGTATCCTCATTTTGTTAGCATCCCTAAAAATCAGCTTCATGTTTGTCAGAATTCAGTTATTAAGGAGTGTGTGTGCAGCCCATGTGAAATCTCATGGGCAGGAGTGAGCTGGGGGGAATGTGAGGAGAGCAGAGTGCTATACTGGAAACCTTTTCTTAGGTATTTCTGACTGTCAGTAGAATGTGACTAAACAAAAAAAACAAACATCCCCCTCTTAGGAGAGGGGTGAATAAGAACAGCAAAAAAAGATACCAAGAGAGGCCAAGGAGGCAGAAAAATGTCAGCATTTCTCCTTATGATGTGTCTTCAGACTTCTTTTTTTGGAGGACACATCCCTCCCACCAACAAAATGCAAAGTGACATTTCCCACCCATAGCTCCTTGTATTCCATTTAGTTTTAAGCCACATAGGAAATATATATATATATATATATATGTGTGTGCGTGTGTGTGTACATATGTATTTTTAAATTAACAAAAGTTACTGAAGTATGCGTATACCGTTTCAAGAACATATATTCTTTCTATGTATTTTCAGCTTGGATTAACACACCTTGCTCAAATAAGGGCAAGGAATATACAGGTCACCTAAAAAGAATTTCAGTGTAGATGAGGAATGTTCTTAATTTTTCTGGTTAGGCTAAGCAAAAGCACCAAAAGCACTCTACCAACTGCTACATTATTAAAAGCTGCAGACACAAGTGCAGCACTCTATTTTACTCTTCTTTGAGATGGAGCAAACCTAAGCTCATGACAGATTCATGCCCTGGAAAGAAGCCTTATGTCTCTTCCCTGCTTCAGAAAAAAACCCTGATTTTTCAACAGATTTGTTGATCTTAAGACTTCTTTAAGTCCATTATGTCTGTTTTTTCTGTGAATGCACATTGTAAAATGGGGTAGATCTTAAGAAAAGAAAAAAAAAAGGA